AGAAGAATGGCAGCAAGGTGACTGACTGTGTGGGGCTGGCTGAGAAAACCTGCAACAAGGCTGTGGACTGTGTGGGCAGGGCGGGGCTGTCTGAAAGGGAAACTGAGACTCAGAGCTGACTGTTGACTATGGCAGGGGTTGCTACTGTGGGAGAAACTCCCAATCTCACATGAATTCATTGGAAAGTGGGGCTAAAGCCCAGCAAGCAAGCTGCATTGTTCTCTCTCTGGCCCCTCCCCCACAAATAGCACCACAATGCATCAAGGAGAGTTGTCCTGCCCAGTCAAATACCTAAGGCCCCGCTCCCTTACAATTTAACAGATGTTCTGAGACAAAGAAATATGGCCCAAATGAAAGAACAGAGCAAAACTCCATAAAGAGAGCTAAGAGATGAGGAGATAGCCAATCTCTCTGATGAGAGTTCAAAACTCTGGTAAATAGGATGCTCACAGAACTAATTGAGCTTGTCACAAAATGAAAAAGCAAATGAAAGATACCCAAAGTGAAATAAAGCAAAATATTCAGGGAACCAACAGTGACAGGAACAAAACCAGGACTCAAATCAACAATTTGGAACAAAATGGAGAAATAAACATCCAACCAGAAAAGAATGAAGAAATAAGAATTCAAAAAGAATGAACAGAGGCTTAGGAACCTCTGGGACAGCTTTAAGTGTTCCAATATCTGAATTATAGGGGTGCCAGAAGGAGAAGAGGAAGGGCAAGAAATTGAAAACTTATTTAAACAAATAATAAAGGAAAACTTCCACAATCTGGCAAAGGAAATAGACTTCCAGGAAGTCCAGGAAGCCCAGAGAGTCCCAAAGAAGTTGGACCCAAAGAGGAATACACCAATGCACATCATTAAGTTACCCACGATTAAAGATAAAGAGAGCATCTTAAAAGCAGCAAGAGGAAAGGAGAGGGTTACTTACAAAGGAGTTCCCACAAGGCTATCAGCTGCTTTCTCAAAAGAAACCTTACAGGCAAGAAGGGGCTGGAAAGAAGTACTCAAAGTCATGAAAGGCAAGGACCTACATCCAAGATTATTCTATCCAGCAAAATTATCATTTAGAATGCAAGGGCAGGAAAAGTGCTTCTCAGATAAGATCAACTTAAAGGAGTTCATCATCACCAACCCATTATTGTATGAAATGTTAAAGGGACTTATCTGAGAAAAGAAAGATAAATATGAATGGTAAAATAACAGCAAAGTCACAACTATCAACAAATGAACCTAAAAAAGAAAAACAACAAAAACAAAAAGTAAGCAAACGACTAGAATAGGAACAGAACCACAGAAATGGAGATCACATGGAGGGTTTTCAATGGGGATGGGGAAGGGAGGAATGGGAGGGAAAGGTACATAGAATAAGAAGCATATTTGGTAGGCATAAAATAGACAGAGAGAGGTTACGAATGGGATAGGAAACAGAATTCAAAGACCTTATATGTACAACCCATGGACATAAACTAAGGAGACGGAATGCTGGAGGATTGGGGGGTGCGGGGGGAAAATTGGGAAAACTATATTAGCATAATCAATAAAACATACTTTTTAAAAAGTCAGAATAGGTAAAGAGGTGATTGTTATGAGGATATAGGTAATCTCGTGGGCAGCTGAGAATAGAAAATAAGTGGAGTCAGCTTGCCTTAAAATTGGGCTTAAAAATGGAATGTTGGGAATGAAAGCAATAGTCTATCTTTCATGGGATAAACATGACTTTTCAACTACTTTTTGCTTTCCTCTGCCTACACACTTTTTTTGGTATATATATTATTCTCTCAGTAACTTTGGATGGCATGAAAGTTTGGCTCTCGTGGTATAGGAGCAGTACTGTCTTTCAGTGTTGCAATTCCAAACTCCCCAGCAATAGCTTGATTGGTTTACCAAGGGTCAAGTTACCATTCCTGGTTCAAGTAGCTATGGCAGAGAATGGGACCATTAGTACAAACATGTCTTCCTAATATGCATTCTTTCAGAGAGCCTAGGAAGTGAGCAATGGGGAGAGGCAGCTCTACATGCAACATTTTCCCTTTTCCATTAATTTTCACCTTGAGCAGTCCTCTGTTTCCTGATCTCAGGTGCTTTTTCTCATCAGGGTGGCAGATCAAAGATGTTCACTGTTACTTGCATTATTTCTTGGAATTATTTCATGCACAGATATTATTCTTGTTTTCTTCTCTAATTAAATTTACATTTCCTCATTGAGAATGTTTTAAGAGGAAAGCAAAGTGGTCGTTAAAGTACCTAAGTCCCTGAGGTCATATCACCCCATCCTCACTTCTACCCTACTTGGGAAGTGGTCTGGTACCCACCCTGAGCATGAGCAAGAGCATAGCAAGTGGTTAGAAGCACAACCCCAGAGTCAATCAACCTGAATTTGAAGGTACAAATAACCTACTAGTAGAGGTTGCTCTGTGTATCAGTTTCTTTATCTGTGAAATTGCAGTATTACCTACCTCATCCATAAGATCACTGTGAAAATCAAAGAAAATAACCAGGTCAAGGAGTCAGCTCAGTGCCTGGGACTTAATAAACACTTACTAAATATTTGCAGTTGAGACCAGAGACAAATATCAGAGGCGCAGATATGATAGTTTTACGTCTTGGGGTGCCATCTGGAAACTTAGGTGGGAGTTAGGATATATTTTGGAAATGACAGCTGGAAACTAGGTTGGTATCTGGACTAATTCTGGGAATATGAGTCTTACTACAACGGCTAGAATCCAAGATAGTTGATTTTATTTGTTTGTTGAATTCCGAAGGAAGATTTAATAATGTCAGTAACTCGGTAGCACTCAGCTGTGGTGTTTCTCTCCCTGGAATGTAAAGATTCTAATGTTTGGATTCCATTGGAATGTATTCTAATTCTAATTCTTTCTAAAGATGAAATAATTTTCACCTACACGTGCCATTTTTCATGTTTGCCACATTATTTAAGTGTGATTAGATTTATACTATAACCAAAACTGTTTATAGAGGCACACATAACTCAATTTTATAAGCCAATTAAAAATAGGATTTGTATCTAAGTATTTGTTTCTTAGGAAACTTTTTTTTTTAAAGATTTTATTTACTTATTTTTAGAGAGAGGGGGAGGGAGAGAAAGCCCTGATTGGTTGCCTCTCACACATCCCCAACTGGGGACCTGGCCCACAACCCAGGCAGGTGCCCTGGCTGGGAACCAAATCAGCAACCTTTCAGTTTGCAGATCAGCACTATATCCACTGAGCTACACCAGCCACGGCTCTCAGGAAACTTTTCAGACATTTTACAAAGTGATCATCTCATTACCGCTTAAAATATTAGGATGGTGCCACCCATATAGATAACAGATAAAATAAATGTATATAAATCTTTGTAAGTGTACATTTTAATGCTTATAAATACTTCTGTATATATTCTACTTATTTAGGCCTAAATTAGGCCTACATTAGGCCTAAATATGTTGTCCTTTCATATATTGTAAAGTTGAATGAGCCCATCAAGTCTTTGCTAACCTCTGCATTAAAAAAGACATAAAGCTGCAATATGGCAAGACCTTGATTATAACTACACTACAAACACTAGAAAGGATTTTTTTCAGCAAATATGTAAAAGGACCCAAGTACCAAAATGGATATTTTCTCTAAAGGAACACATGGTTTAATTCTTTCCTTTGCTGGTAAATGCAAGATTTAATCACTAACTTGCTTGCATTTGTTACCACAGATACAATGACTTTCTTCCTAGGGCCAAGGTGCCAAGATGAGTGTTACTCAAGCATCTATCTCTACACAGGCCCACGTTTAACTATGCACACATCAAAAAAGCAGTCCTCTTTAGTTGCCAGGGAATATTTTCAAGACTGGATGTAACACCTGATTCCTTAAAGCAGTTGTAGATCCTTTGCCATTGTCCTTTAACTTAAAAAAAAAGTTGTTGATACTACTAACCTTCATATTAACTTTGTCACAAGCTGTATATCTTGGTAAATTATCTAATCTCGGAATTCAATTTATCCTCTGGTAAAATGGGTGTTCCTTCGTTTTAGATGGCTGGAAGTGTTTGTTTTTATTACATGCATACATACACTGCCTTATAGAAATTTTTTTTTAAAGAACCCCTTAAGTTGTAGTTTTATGATAATGGGGCATTGATTTTAAAAAACTGAAACGGAAGGTTAGGCTCCTCAATTTATGTGGCTCAGTGGATTGAGAGCCAGACTGAGAATCAAAGGGTTGGAGGTTCCATTCACAGTCAGGGCACGTTCCTGGGTTGCGGGCCAGGTCCCCAGTAGGGGGCGTGGGAGGGGCAACCACTCACTGATGATTCTCTCTTTCTCCCTTCCCCTCTCTCTAAAATAAATAAAATCAAATCTTAAAAAAAATAAAAACCTTCTGCACTACTAAATTCTAGAATAGAAAAAAATTCACCTAGACAAGCTAATACTATTGCCATGAATGAGGTTTACAGAAAATGCTGCTTTCCATTTATTTAAGTGCTTTAAATACAGCTTTGAACTGATTTGAACTCGAATCAAATACTGTATGAAACTGATTGGCAGCGGGGCCAGGTGGAGTGTTATTAACTGAAGAAAGATTCCTTTTTGTGTGTGTGACCACAACTATAAATCATATTCTAGGCCTTTTTAGTGGTTTTATCCCCTTGACAAAAACTCAATTTTTCTTTAAAAAAACCCTAATTTCCATCTTACCTCCCCCGCACTGTAAGAAAAATGTTGAAATAATTAGGCACCAACCCGATAAAAAAACCCGTGTTTTTCTCTGCGGGTCTTCCTGCGGGGTAGTGGATCACCCACGACTCCAGCACAGAGGCAGCGGTGTTAAACTACAGTAGCCACAAGACCTCACTAGCCCTGGAGCTCTCCCGCCTGGCCAATTTCCTGAGGAGCCGGTGACAGGCTTTTGCCCCGCCCCCACGAGTCCGGGATTCGTCAGAATTTTCCCGCGATGCCGCAGGGAGCACGTGGGGTCCACTTCGCCAGGCCCCAGAGTGCACTGCAGGCGCGTGCGTGTGCGCGAGTGTGACTTTACAGTCAAGCGACCGCGGGAAAATTCCAAAAAGTAAAAAAAAAACCAAACCAGTCCGAGGCAAAGCCAAATTTTAAAGCCACAGAATTCGGGCGGTGGCGTCCTTTCCGCCACTGCCTCAACTGCTGAAGCAGCTCCGGCGCAGACTACTGGGTAAGAGAGGCCGCAGAACGAAAGGAAAGACAGCTGCTTCCCTTGGGGTGGGGATCTGGCCTACGGGTCAGCCTGAGCGTGGGGGTAGGGAGGGAAGACTCGCGAGAATGTCCACCGTGCTGTGCGCCTGTGAGTGGGCTAAGCTCCCACCGTGTGCGTTGGGCAAACAGGGGAAGTGGGTAGGGCATGAGGTGGGGCCAGCTTGCAGAGGGGCGGAGCTGATATGGGGGCGTGGTGACCGGCAGAGCCGGCGGAGGGCTCACGGGAAAGGGAACCCGCCCAGAGAGGTTGGGAGTTTGGCGTTAGTGTTTTGGTTCTTTCTGTTTGTTGAGGCAGGCAGCTGTATCGTCTTGAAGGAGGGGAGCAGAGGTGAATTTCTTCATCTCTCATCAGTGGGAGCTGTGAAAAGCTCGCCTCTTTTAACCAATCACCCTCTACAGTATTCGGCATGCTTTCTGTACCCCCTGGCGCCATTGGCGAAGCCCAATTAGAGGAGCCGGAGGCGCGGCTGTTACCCCTCTGTCCTTCCGGTCTTTCATCCCAGTGGGAGGTTCTGATGGACTGTTCTCTCCCCACAGCCCTTTGAACGACAGGCCAAACGGGGTCCAAAACCCTTGAGAGATTTTTTGGGGGCGGGGGGTGTTGTTTGTTGCCAAGCTCTGTGTGTTTGTGTGTGTGTGTGTGTGTGTGTGTGTGTGTGTGTTTATGTGGGCGTGTTTACAACCGTGAACCCTGTATAGTTGTCTTGTATGGGCTAGAGGTCTGGAGGGCAGTGGGGGAGAAGATTCGGAGTTTTTGAAACATGAGAAGTTGGGGACCAGAATTTTCAGGAAAGAGGCCAAGGAATTTTCTGGCCAAGACCTGTGTGTGCCTGTGCCTTTGTCCTAATCTGAAACTTGGAAAGCTCCAGGGCTCCTGGATTTACTCTAGTCTATGCATTTTAGTTTAACCTATGCATTTAATGCATCTTAACTGAGATGTGATTGATTTATCAGCAGAAGATCGGGACACTTTTAAGCCACCGACTTCAGCTATTCTTGCGTGTCACTCGCCTTCAATAATGTGTGGCTCAGCACATTTTCTCATTACTCCCCTCAAGAGGGGAGGAAAGGTTGTTTTAAATGATAGAATTCATACCATGTGTTGGGATCATTTATTACATAAGCTTAGATAGAAACATGTTCATTGTAACTTTATCCATTAAACTTAAACCAAATTGATTCACATGGAAATAAGCACATATAAACATTACTCATATACACATACGAGAAAGACTACAGCAAAAAAGAATTGGGCTTTCCTAGTTATATCAAAGGCCTTTTTACCCCAGAGTAAAAGTTAGATCCAGCTTATTTAGACTTGGACTAATTATTCTTCGGTATATTATACATATTAATTCATGTTTTATTATTCAGTTATATTCCTCTTGATTTCTTGAAAAACATTTTGTAAGGTTTCAGTAAAGAGAGGGAAACTATATTAGAATTTTTTGTCCTGTTCTTTAATAGAAAGCATTAACTTGATTGGCTGAGTGTGGAAGATATGTTGCTGCATGCATGTGAAACTGTGTGTACATTTTAAAATAAATGGGATTTTAAACTAGTTCCATATTTCAGCAAGTAGTTCCAGTAACAATTATACGAACTTTGTATTTATGAAAACCAGCTACAGGGAGGCCAGCCTGGGTGGTAGAAAGTTGGATTGATTAGCTAGGCTGCAGATAGTGCCAGAGAAATCTCACATGTGTGGCAGTTCCAAGTTGGTAGTGGTGAAGCCTCAAATCAGGCTTGAAATCAGCACCAAATGGATTTATAAAATTTTACTTTAGGCCCTGGCTGGGTATCTCAGTTGATTAGAGTGTCATTTTGATACACCAAGGTTTCGGGTTTGATCCCTGGTCAGGGCACATATATTTCCCTTTTCCTTTCTCCCTAAAATCAACAATTTTTTTTAAAAAAACTTAATTTTATGCTGAGGTATGTATATTCTCTGTTTTTGTTTGTGGATCCTAAATGACTGACTTTTTAAGATGAATGAACACCTGTAGGAGAAGTACATTGAGTCTGCAGTGTTTTACTAAAAATGGATGAGAAGGAAAAAGTTAAAAATTCATCAGAAAAGTTAGACAACAATGTAAATCTGCAGCATTTTATTTTCTACTAAATATAAAAAAAAATTTTGTTTTGGACTCAGTTTGGAAGAGACCTTGCAGAATTATCTGGTTCATTCTTTCAGGTTCTTCAGAAACTCTTCTGGGTACATAGAAATCATTTCCCTGTTAAGATCTTAATATACAAACATCTATTATCTTCCTGATACCTTTCCCTAATTATAAGAAGGCATAATTCATATGGAAATCACTTTTTTTGAAATGACATACTTTGTTTTCTAAAAAATTAAGTGTCTTTTAGTTAGTAGATTTTTGAAATTGAGCAATGATCACGACAATTCAGTTTTAAAACATTTGCATCACCATAACAACTTTGTGTATTTGCAAGTTCACACTCAATTCTGGCTCTGGCTTTCGGCCTCAGGCAACCCATTGGTTTGCTTTGTGTCTCTATAGAAAAGACTTTCTGGACATTTCATATAAATGAATATATAAAATAAGTACTGTCTTATGTCTGTTTTCTTTCACTTAGCATAATGTTTTTCAGGTTCATCCATGCTATAGCATGTATCAGTAGTTTGCTCCTTTATTGCTGACTAGTATCCCGTTGTGTGGATGTGCCACATTTTGTTTATCCATTAATCAGTTGATAGACACTTGAGTCGCTTCTACTTTTTGGCTGTTATGAATAATGCTGCTGTGAGAAATTGTATGCAAGTTTTTGTGTGGACATATGTTTTCATTTTTCTTGAATAGATAATGAGTGGAATTGCTGGGCTGTATAATGAGTTCATGTTTAACTTTTTTAGGAAACTGCCAAACTTTTCCAGTTTAGCTGTACCATTTTACAATATATTCCCACCAGCAATGTGTACAGGTTTGTTTTTTCACATCTTCATTTGTTAATTGTGTCTTTTCTTGTAGCCATCCTAACGGGTGTGAAGTGGTATGTCCTTGAAATTTTAGTTTCTATTTCCCTATTGGCTAATGATGTTGAACTTATTTCCTTGTGCTTATTAGCAATTCCTACACTGTCTGTGAAATGTCTATTGATGTCTTTTGTCCACTTTTGGATTGGGTTGCTTATCTTATTGGGTTTTAAGCATTTTTTTTTGTATATTCGGAATACAAGCCCACTATCATATACATGTTTTGCAAATAATTTCTCCCAGTCTGTTACTTGTCTTTTCATTTTTTTCAGGTTATCTTTTGAAGCACAAAAATTTTTAATTTTGAGAAAGTTCAGTTTATCAGTTTATTTCCTTTTTTGAATCATGCTTTAGGTTTATGATCAATTGCAGCTAACTTTTGTGTGGGGTATGAAATATGGGTGCAAATTCTTCATCTTTTTTTGTATGTGGTTATCCAATTGCTTCAGCACTATTTGTTGGAAAAAAAACCTTTTCTTTCTTCATTTAGTTGTCTTGGCACTTTTGTCAAAAATCAATTGACCATAAATTATTTCTAGACTCTCATTTCTGTTTCAGTGATCGGTATGCCTATTCTTGTACCAGCAATGTGCTGTCTTGATTATGATGGCTTTATAGTAAATTTTGAGATTAGTAGTATAATTCTTTCATTCTTTTTTTTTTTTCAAATTGTTTGGGCTATTCTGGGTTTTGTGTAGTTCTATATAAATGTTAGTATCAGCTTGTCACTTTTTCCATAAAAAGCCTGTTGTGATGGATTTTAATAGAAATTGCATTGACTCTGTAAATCTGTTTGGGGGAGAATTACCAACTTGAATGTGGAATGTGTTGCTGTTTGTTTAGATCTTTAATTCTGTCAGCCATGTTTTATACTATTCAGTGTATAAGTCTTGACCTCTTTTGTTAAGTTTATTTTGAAGTGTTTCATTTTTGATGCTATTGTGAATAGATTTTTTTCACTTTTCATTTTTGGGTTCATTGCCAGTATATAGAAATATAGTTGATATTCACATATTGATCTTGTATCCTGTAACTTTGTTTATTACTTCATACAGGTTTTGTGTGTGTGTGTGAGAGACTTGGAATTTTCTACATATACTAACATGTCATGTGAATATAGACAGTTTTACTTTTCCTTTGTATATGGATGCCTTTTTTTCCCCCCATAACCTCCAGTACATTGCTACATAGAAGTGGGGAGGGAGAGGGGAGAGTGGACATTCTTAACTTGTTCCTGATATTAGGGGGAATACATTTAATCTTTTTCCAATAGGTTCTTATGAGTAAATGTTGGATTTTTTCAGATGCTCTTCTGTATCTATTGAGATGACCATATGGTTGTGTTTCTTTATTCTATTAATGTAATTTATTAGATTAGTTGGTTTTTAAATATTATCCTAACTTTGTGTTCCTGGGATAAATCCCACTTGGTCATGGCATATAATTCTTCTTATGTGTTACTGGATTTGGTTTAGTATTTTGTTTAGGATATTTGTGTTCATGAGGAGTATTGGTGGGTAATTTTCTTGTGATGTCTGTGTCTGGCTTTGGTTTTATGGTAATACTGTCATCTTACAATGAGTTGGAAGTGTTCCATCTCATTTTCTAAAAGAGTTTGTGAAGGATTAATGTTATTTCTTCTTTTAATATTTGATAGAATTCACCCATGAAGTTATCTGTTCGTGGATTTTTCTTCATGGGAAGGTTTTAAACTACAAATTAAGAACCAAGTCTTCATTTCTTTGATTTTATTTACTGTTTTTCTGTTTCACTGATTTCTACTCTAATCTTTATTATATCATTCTTTCTTGCTTTGGGCTTAATTTGCTCTTTTTCTAATTTTATAAAATAGAAGTTTACATTATTGATATGAGACCTTTATTCTTTTCTAATACAAGTGTTCAAAGTTACAAACTTCTTTTTAAGCACTGTTTAAATGGCATCCCACAAATTTTGATATG